GGGATTGAACCGCGGTCCCTGTGCTTTGCTAAGCTTGTTCTAAGTAGGTGCTTTAGACCACTGAGCCATCTCACCAGCCCCTCGGTAAATATATTCTTATCATGAAAAATAATGCAACAATTAAAATTAAGAATTTAGTGAGTGGATTTAAAAGATTATTAACACAGCTGAAGAGATTAGTGAATTAGAAGATAGAGCTCCTAAAGAGAGATAAAAGAACTTTTCTTCTTTGTGAGACTGTTTAGAGATTGAAAAGGAAAATCATGGGGTGGAAAATCCTTGTGAATCATCTAACAAGTAATAAACATATAGGATACATGAGGCCCTCCTAAGAGTAATACACAAAAGATAGGCAATGCAGTAGGAAAACCCTTGGTTTTTATTTACTTTTTTTCTGGCGGCACCAGGGAGCGTTTCTTTTAAAAAAAATAAACCCGTAGACAACGAGAAAAAAAAAAAAAAAAAAAAGAAAAGAAAAGAAAAGGAAAACCCTTGCTTTGGTAAACAGCCACTTCACCAAAAGGGATAGACAGAAACCCAAGGGAGTAAAAAACATAGACAGATTAGTCATCCGAGACGTAAAAAATAGAACCAAAAAGAAACACTGCACACATTCTAGAATGCCTCTTTGCAGAAGGGTTGGCTGTCCCACATGGGGTGCAGGGAAAGCCTCCAATTTGCGCGTGAATATAGACTGGCTCAGCTCCTCTAGGAAAGTGGCAGTATCTATTAAAGTGGAGCGTGTGCATGTCATTGACCTCACAGGTCCTCTCTTAAGTTGATGCCCAAAAGAATGCTGCGGATATGGCTACCAGAAACGTTTGCAAGACAGTGTAGGCTACCCACTCATTAATAAGAAAAATGGATCAACAGTATTATATTCTCACCATCTGTGCCAATAGAAATCCATGCGTTGTTACCACAAAGTGTACAAACTTGACCTGGAGCAAAAAGTCAGACAGAAAAATATAGACTGCATGATCTTATTTATGTAAATGTTAAAAAGCCAAAATACAGTTAGTGTTTCTAGGAGTCCAACTGTTTGCCTTTGAAGAAGAGGAAGGGGATACCGCGGGGGAGGGGCATGGCGAGGGGTCTCCGAGGTGGGGCTGTTGTTTCACCTCGATCTGGGTGGTGGCCTTTGCAGTTGTATTCTCTGAGAACATCATTGAACTGAATGCTTGGATAGATGCCTTCACCCAGGCACGTGATGCTTCTGTTGAAGATGTTATTAAAGAGTATAAAGAAGTCCTCTTCCTTTGTACTGACTAGTGAAAGCGTCACTTTTCTAATAAAGAAGATGGTCCCGCCATAAGGGTCTGTGGTTAAAGCGTGGAGCTGTGGAAGCACCTAAGAATCCTTATTTGGTTAGGCCAGTGGAAGAGCTGTCACGAGGGTGGAGCTCCGTGCCTTCCTGCAGAAATACTGAGCTACATGAAGACAGAGGAGGGAGGTCATCTAGGCCCAAGAATGTCCAGTTTGGGTCACTCTGGCGCCCTCTGCTGGGCCTTCTTCGAAGTCCCAGCCTGCCTTTCACCTGAACAGTCATGAGTGCCAAAGCCACAATTGGGTGGTGACGGTTACTTGTTGCGTCCAATCACAGTGTACAGTAGTCTTAGGCCACATGCAGAAATAGTTATGCTCTTTGTCTTTGTGTGTGTGTGTGTGTGTGTGTGTGTGTGTGTGTGTGTGTGTGTGTTGGTACTTTAAAAATATTGTTAAGACCATAAGTTAGCCAAATCCAGGGAAGATCGAGAATTTTACGTGGTGTCAGCTGTGTGTTGACAGATACTGAACAGCTGGCTCCCTTTGGCCTTTGCCAACTTTCATGGGGAAGCTAGTCCCTGGGACAGACTTTAAGCTACCAACATGACATCAGGGCAGTGGGAGGTGATACTTAGTGTCATTGTCACGTGGCATTGTTACCAGAGAGCTACAACAGATGTAGGAAAGCTTCAGAAGCATAGGTTACATTGTATTAATTAGGCAGGATGTGTTCTGAGTACTTGCTGCTTATTTGTACTGACATTTAATTGCAAGTAGGTATACTTTGCTTTTGATAAAGGCCATCTGTAGCAGCTCGCTCATACAGTCCCTGAAAATGTGACGGTGTGCTGTCATCATAGGCTAGCTGCAGTGCACCCCTGGAGGAGCAGTTACAAGTCCCTTTGAGTGTGGGGTAGATTGGGGCGACATAGATGACTTTTGTTTTCTACTAACCCATAGATATGCTAGATTAATTTTTATTTTATTTCATTTTTTTTGTATTTTAGGGAAGGGTCTACAGGGTGTTCAGGGTCTCACTACTAGATCGGATTCGTAGTGATCTGCAGCCTCCTGAGAGCTGGGATTACAGCCTTCCAAAAGCTGGGATTACAGGTGTGCGCCACCATGCCCAGTCTCAATTACGGTCTCAGTTTCCCCCCTGGGCAGGGCAGCACTCAGGCCTGGGGATAGAACCCCTGGCCCCTGCGCCTGCTTGCAGGTGCTTCAATCCACTGAGCTATTTGGCTAGCCCTTAGATTAATTTTTTAAAAATGCGGGTAAGCTAAAAACTCCATTATTTTCAAGTCCTGGAAATAGAGTTACAGTACTAAGTGAACACTGAAGGTATGCATCGCAAGGAGGTATCCAGACCTGCCCTGCCCCCTTGTGATGTTCTGTGCCTCCCAGGAGCTAGGAGTTGAAGCTTCAGGGTTCGTGTGTTGCAGAGAGCTAGAGCTGGTCTCCGGGCATGATGGCGAGGGCAGGAAAGAGCGCCCAGTGGAGAAGCTGTTCACCGGCTGAGGGTGCAGTTTGGAAGCCTGTGGGCTCTGCAGAAAGCAGTCAGTCCTCAGAAATTGTCTTGTTGTGTTGGCCTCCCTGAGTGGCTTGTGATTTTCCTTTCAGGAGATGGGAGACACACACACACACACACACACACACGACAATCTGAAAGTGGCTTTGAAATAAGCAAGCTTAAGGAGGTACAAGCATAAATGTCACCTATTAAGACAGCAAGAGGTCATGAAGGGAAAATGTGGATTTGAAAAAGAACCAAGTAGAAATTTCTAGAAACATAAAAACAAAATCTTTGAGAGAAAAATTGAACAGATATAGGGACTCAGTGGATGTTTATACAAAGTGTTAGCTAAAGCTTAAGAGAGGATTTATGAATTGAAAGTAGGTGTGAGGATACCCTCAAGGTATAGTGCTTGGATTAGACTGTTAATATTGAAAGTTTTATTTATTTATTCTTTAAGTTTGGTGTTGAATTTAAATTTTGCTTAAGTGTAAAAAAGTAATAGTACCCTGACACCGATACTGTAGAAAAATGACATATATCTCAATATTTATGGATTTGTTACCATGGATAACTGAGTATTATTGAACTTTGTAAACATTCATAGAATGTTGCATAAAGTAGAATCTGGCACAATGAATATTTGTCGAGTGAATGAATGAATGAAATGTTACAAAAGCTACAGTCTCAAAATGATTCATCTTCAAAATCAGCTGAGACTGCTAGAGCCCACACACCTCATGTTAAACTCCTATTATCATTTTAATGTCTTGGTATTTATTCTAGGGACAAACCCAATCATTCAAGCAGGACGCCACTATTAATGTCTGTCTTGTCCTCCACATTTTGACTTCTGATCATAAATGTATACGGGTGAATTGTTTTTTTATTTACTTCTTTGGTTTTGGGTAAATTAAACACAGGCAGTTACGGTAAGTTTGCGTTCAAAGGCACCTTGCACGTCCTGGACTCAGCGGTATTAGGATTGCATTGGGGTTTTTAATGGTTGTGCGCTGCATTTGCAAAAGTTTTATAAGGGTGACTGCAGAGGACGCTACTAACAAGCAGTTTTGGTCTATTATCCGCAAGTGAATTCCTCCTGTTTTGCTTACAACGAAACAAAAAAGCGAAGAACCAAACTCGGAGGCACTTCAGTCTTAATTTTAAACTCTCCTTAAGCTTAAAAATGTTCGCTGGCATTTGAAACGCGGCATCCTGGTGGGGTGTGGCCCCCCGTGAACCGCCTGTCCTGTGTCACCTCCAGGTGCGGGCGTTCTACACCCAAGTGCTGAACGAGGAGGAGCGCCGACGCCTGTGCGAGAACATCGCGGGCCACCTCAAGGACGCGCAGCCCTTCATCCAGAGGAAGACGGTGAGTCCGTCGTCGCCGGCCGGAGGGTGCCACCTGCTGGCCGCAGGAGCTATTGCAGCCCCGTGGAAGAACCCTACCAAGAAAGCATTCTTTCTGTTAACGTTACAAACAGTAATACTCCCCAGGAGACCTTTCCTTATTTTCTGTAAGTGCTTTATGTCGTAGGACATGTGCAGGGGCTGTTCTCTCCTAATTGCAGCCGAGTTCTGAAGCAGCTAGTAAAATGTCTGTTACCAGAGTGGTTCCAGCCACAGTTTTGCTTAAGCTTAAATGATAAGCAACATGGCTTATTATTTTTTTTTTTTTTGCAGTTTGCTATCTGCCTGGAGGTCTTAATGTGATGACATCCGGGCCCTCCTTAAGAGGCAGACTAGACATTACCTTCCTGTTTTCTGTAGAGAGAGCTGCCCCACGCTAAGTGCAGGCCGGGCTTTGGAGCCAAGGGGCTGGCGTATTTCTGATGGCTGCCCCTGAGCCATGTGAAGTCCTCTGCCTCTTAGTGTCCTGAGAACCTGCGCAAGATGTAAAGCCAGGAACGCTGCTGTGCCTTGTGTTCGGGTGGCTGTGGGCCCGGGCTCAGGAATCAGCGGAGACTGCAGTGGTTGCTCTGTGCCACAGGCAGGGTGGGTTTTAGCTCCTTCTACCTATGAGGGTGGGTCCGATGGTGGGTCAGGGTCAGGCCTGGGCTCACAGCCTGGGCAGTCTTCTCTAAGACAGGGTGAGCCGGTGCTCTCTCCGTGCTCTCTCTGCTGGCCTCAGCCCGTGGTCAGGGACTCTGTGGTCAGGAACTCCATGGCAGAAGCCACGGCTGCGCTACATGCACACAGCAGGCGGCCTGGCGCCTGACACTCTCGCTCGTCAGTTATGTGGTCTGAGCTCAGCTCCTCATGCATAGTGAGTGCTGCTCCTCTGTGTTTTGCTCAAGGTGTTTTGTGAAGTTGGCGATGGCCCTGCCCCCTAAGAAGTGGTGCTCTAATTCTGACAGTCATCGGGTATCTTACAAGCCAGTTCCATTCTGAGAGGAAATCCCAGTGGGAAAGGTCAGCCTTTCCAGGCGCCCCCACCCTAGATGTCAGATGAGGTACCCTGGTATTTGTGCTTTGGCAGATTCTCACTCCAAACCCAGGGGTCCCCACGAGCCTTCCTCAGGTTTCATGGTTTGTAGAATGACTCAGAATTCAGCAGAGCACTTTTGCCATTTGTTAGACATAAAGGCCACAACTGGAGAGAGACCAGCCAAACGGCATAGGTGTGTAAGTGCACGCAGCAAGCCGTGTGGCGAGGCGTGGGGCTCCGTCCTCTCCGGGGTTGCTGCCCTTCCAGGACCTTGGCGTGTTTGCTGACCCCGCAGTTCCCCCATCCCTGTTCTGAATGGAGGTTTCATGGCATATGCACGAGATCAAGGCACTGGCCGTGCGTGGTTGGTGGTGAGAGGTTCCTCTGATGGCATGCTTGGTCTCCCATTACCGCTTCCATCCAGGACTCCCGGAGTCCTCCGAGTACCACCCAGAAGACTGTAGATCAGAAGAGATTCGGGAGCTCTGTGCGGGGAACGTGGGACAGAGACCGAGAATGTTCTGTGGTACCACTTGGCTGTCATTGTCTTGCTCATTTAGCCAAGGACACCGAGGCCCAGATAACCCCCCAAGTGCCCCTGCCCAAGATGGCAGGGTCAGCTCATAGAAGATCTACCTGGACCCTCCAGCCCTCCTCCAGGGTCTGCGCTGTTCACAGCATGTGGCCCAGAGTCCTGCAGAGACTTCCTCCCTCCCTGGTTGAATAATCAGGCAGAGGTGCCAGGGAGTGGCTGCTTGGGGGTCAGGGGACGCCTACGTTCATCTTCATTTGCTTCTAGGTCAAGAACTTCTCAGACGTCCACCCTGACTATGGGACCCGCATCCAGACTCTTTTGGACAAATACAATGCTGAGAAGCCTAAGGTGAGGCGTAGGGTGCGGGCGCTGGATTAGATGAGATACAGCGTGATCTCCACTTAGCATTATTCTGTCTTAAAAGCAACAGATTTCTGAAGCAGTTATCCAGAAACTCACTTGAGCTCTAAAGAACACATGTTCTTCCTTTCTTTGCAGTTTACTTTTATTCACACAGGCTTCAGTATAGAATGATCCCATTCATTGTGAGGCCTTAGTACACACACACGCACACATACACACACACACACACACACATCACATACCCCATTCCCCATTCCCCTGTGCTCCAAACAGGGTGAAACACTTCCAAGTGGGTAAACTCCGAATTATTATTTCCATTTGGGCGTCAGCGAAAGTGAAGACAAGAGCCACATGTCCGCTGTCTCTGAGGAGTTTACTAAACTGCTCGTCTTGCTCTTTTCACACAGAATGCGATCCACACCTTTGTGCAGGATGGATCTCACTTGGCTGCGAAGGAGAAGGCTCACCTGTGAGGCTCCTCGGCTGGGAGGTGGCTCTGAGAATCGCGCTCCCTGCTCATGGCTGGGCGGAAGCTCCTCCCAAGCCGCATGCGCAAGTGCAAGCTAATGTCTTTGAAATGATGATTCAGGCATCAATAGCAGATCATGTAACAATGGCTTCCAATGCTGTTTCCCCTTGGGAAAATAAAGGCTAGGGCTAGCAGTCACTAAACAGAAACATGTGTTTGCATTTGACAGTTGTTGGATTCTTCATGTAACATGACTAGATCTGGGGATACAGCTCAGTATCAAATGAAATGAAATGACTAGAAGATTCTAGTCCGAAACATAATTTGTTTGGGAAGTAAAAAAAAGTCTTGCTGAAATTAGTATGTTTACATATGACCTCATGACCTACTCTATAGAAAAATGGCTATAATTATACAATAAGAAAAGACAAAGATGTTCCACCCAGAGAATTATATTTTTCTAAGATCCTTCTAGTAAAAACACACTTAATGCATCAGCGTCTCCAGGAAATAACTTTTAACACTTAATTCCTGTTGGTAATTGATCAGATTTGCTTTTTTTCACTTGAAATTACATTTATGCTAATATTGCATTGATTTTATAGCAGGTTGACTTGTAATTGCTTACATTTTTACAATAAAATAATCTGTATATAAGAATATAAAAAATGGTATTTGATTTCTTTTGACTCTATACGTCATTTGAAAACTGCCACTAGGTAATTTGGACGTCATCTTTCTTCAGATGCTTACCTTTAAAGATGAAAACTAAGGTGGTAAGGGAACGGCATCGCTTGTTTAAATCAATAGTCTGGGAACAAACTTCTGGGTGGCTGGGGACATAGCCAACGTCCTGACTTTGAAAATCACTTAGATCTCTTGCCAATAAATGGATATTGATGGATTTTTAAAATAAGAACTCAGAAATGCTAGTTATTATTTTTATTTTGTTATGTTTTTAAACTCATATTTGCTTATCAGGCTTACAAATCAAGTAAGATTTTAAGTATGGATTCTCATTGTCCAAAAAAAGCTTGGTGCTCTTGAAAAATTTCATTCTTTTCATCTTAAAAGCCGGTTTGTATTGATTTTCTCGAATTTTCTGAGATGCGGGCTTCAGAACACCACTTGTTCACCAGCAGATGAGTGCAAAGGCTCTTTCTGCTCCCCTTCTTCACTCTCTTTTCAACCTCTTCTGCCTCAGTTTCTCAAGCAGCTTTGAAACTGTACTGTCTGTAGACGCAGACAGTAAGTCTAGCGGTACGCAAAGGTAAATGCCGCCAACATGTCAGCTTTCCTGTACTTGTCTCTTGAGGGTAGTGCAGCTGTAGATAGAATTGTAAGAACTAATGTAATTTGAAAAAGAGAGTGGGCCGGGGAGATGGCTCAGTGGAATAAGTGCTTCCCTGGCAAGCGCAAGGGCCTGAGTTCAATCCCCGGTTCTGCCAAAAAAAAAAAAAAAAAGAACAAGAAAAGGAGAGGGTGATTATTTGACCCTGCTAATGCCCATAAAGACAGATTTTTTGAAATCAGTTTCTTCTTTATTCTATTTTGTACTCTAAAAATAAATTGGTAGTTCAAACGACGTGAATCTAATATACTCTCCAGGAGGAAATAACTGACAATTGAGAGGCTCCTCTGTGCTGCTCTGGAGACCGGGCACTGTGATTTTTTTTTTTTTTTTAATTTTTTTTAAACTATTTTTTTAATTATTTTTTTATTTATTACATTTATTTATTGTGTGTGTGTGGCCAGCTCAGCCCACCAGGGGGCAGGGCTGGCTAGCATGTGGTGCTGGGGGATCAAACCGCGGTCCCTGTGCTTTGCTAAGCTTGTTTCAAGTAGGTGCTTTAGGCCACTGAGCCATCTCTCCAGCCCTGTGATTTTCAAAGTTGAGCACTAATGAGTTTAATGTCCCTTGCGTAGACTTTCCTTCCTGTCTAATTAATTTCCTTTCAGGTGACAAAGAGCCATGTCCTAAGAGTTTCTGATTGAAATTTACCAGGAGGGTGAAATGAGAGGTGGTGTGTTACAGCGACGTAGACCCAGCCTTGGACTCAAGACCAAGGCCTGTGTTTCCTACCGGTGGGGACTTGGGCAGATCACTCCTCCGGCATTCCTTCCTTCATCGGCCAGTGAGGCCAGTGCTCGTTCTCCTTGCCCAACGGTTGAGGATCATTCACCTTATTTGACTCTGGCCTCGTCTTTGCGGTTCAGCCCTCCTCGTGCCGTATCTTGGTCAGCTTTTGCTCAATAGCAGACTTCTTCGTAACCCAGTGGTGTAAAGCAGTAGTCATGTATCGCTCTTGCGCTGAAGTTGCCTGGGGTTGATGAGGCTGATCTAGGCTGGGGCAGCTGGGTGGCTTGGCTGGGACAGCTCCATGTCACATGTCTCTTGTTCTCTGGGGGCTCACAGTGAGTGGAGAAGTGGAAGAATGCAATCCCACTTGTATGAATGCTTGTGTGTATCTGTGTGTGTGTGTGTGTGTGTGTGTGACTGAAACATGTAGTGAATGTTTACATTTGAAGAACATGATTATAGTAAGAGACACATTGCTGTTAATTCCCCCTTTGCGTTGAACACACTTATGCCATTGTTCTTGCCACTTTCTGCAGCAGTTCGAAAGTCCCCTTTTGTGAGTGCCGTTCATGGTGCCTGCTCTGATGTCCTAAGCTGATTCAAAGTCTTTACCTTTCGGGGTCCTCTTATCTTTGAGGAAGAGCCGGGAATCACACAGTGCCAGATCCCAGAAATGAAGAGCATGGGAACACACCACGACCAAGCCTCTCTTCCCATTAGGTGGCCCCTGGCAAGCCACTCAGGAACGAGGACTTCCAGAACTGCTTCAGAAAGTAGGAACTATGGGATGAGCATGCTTGGAGTGGGGGTTGTTTGGGGTGGGGATAGTTTGAGGGGGATTAATGACAATGTTCTTTACTATAATTTTTTTTTAATCGTGCCTTCATGGTATTTTTTTGGTCTGCTTCTATATCTGAATGATAATCTTCCATAGTCTTTCCCTCCGTTAGTTCTTCAGTGCTCTGGGGACCTTCAATCCCATGACCTGACCGCTTGCTCCCAGCTGGTCACTCTCTTGTACCTTGTTTCCCATTTTCCTCTGTTCTTATTTTATCTGATCCAGGGCAGCCTTTGCGTATGCCCCGCTGTTACTGTGCTGTCCTCTCTCACATTGTGTCTTCCGTCTCTTCTGCACCCATCTTCTCAGCATGAAAGCCTACTGGTGTGATTTTTGTCTAGATGAGCTCCAAGAGCCCCGCGTCCTCATGGGCGGGGTCTTCGGAAGGTGGCCGGGTGACACTGGTGCTGCAGCTGACTTGCTGTCCTGGCAGGTCCCTGGGGTGGGACCTGGGTGGCTGCATCTCCCTCCCTGGCTCTGCCTTCGTCTCTTTGCTTCCTGACCTTTATGATGTGAGCAGTCTTCCTCCACTGAGCCCCTTCCACCAAGCCCTTCCTGCCATGGATCCAGCCACCCGGGCACTAAAAACACAAACCAGAATAAACCTGGCCTCCTTTAGGCCGCAGGTGTCCAGCCTCTTGTCTCAGCAACAGGAAATGCATGACTAAGACAAATAGTTTCTGTTTTGGTGACATTCATTTCTGGGGGGCTAGGCTGATGCTGTACTCTTGGGAGCACTGGGCCAGTTCCTACTACTTCCTGGACCTGAGGTTGTCAGCTGCTCTGTGTTTTGATTCTGGTTTTGGTCTTTCATACAATCCAGAATGTTTTTAGGTTTGGAATGTCTACCCCTTCCGTGGCCATCTGAGCAGAGAAGCACCATGTTTAAGGGGCTGGATCAAAACTCCCGGTCAGGTTGAAAAAAAGAGACATTTTGGGAAGTTGGACATCACTGGCAGGTGGTGAAGTCGGAGTGCTCGGGGAAAGAACTGGGCAGTGAAGGGTCAGCTGGGCCCAGAAGGGGAGGGGAATGAGTGGCAGGCCAGGCCGAACCCCAGCCACTGCGCTCTGCCTAAGCAGGTGCGTTAGTCTACTGAGCTATCTGGTGGGCCCTATTTTATGGGTTTTGCGGTGCTGGGGATTAAACCCAGAGCCTAGAGCACGCGTGGCAAGTACTGTCCCACTGAGCTACTCCCCTGGGCTCCAGCTAACCCAAGAATGCGCTTTTAGGTTAAACTTCTTCTTTTTTTTTTTTTTTTTGGCAGAACCGGGGATTGAACTCAGGCACTTGCGCTTGCCAGGGAAGCGCTTATTCTACTAAGCCATCTTCCTGGCCCCTAGGTTAAACTTAATTAGAAGCTGCTGGGTTCATGACAGCTATATAAACAGAGCAGGAAAGAATGTCACAGAGGAAAGGGCAAGGGGCCGTGTATTGTACACAGTGTCACACCTCTGTGACCACCCTGACACACACAAAGGTATGCCACACAGGTCACAGTGAATGGTCACAGTTGCTAGGTTGCCCAGGCTGGGGACTTGCAATCTTCCTGCTTTATCTTCCCATACCTGGCTTCCAATTCCTTTTTTTTTTTTTTTTTTAAGGCCATCAAGCTGTTTTCTAGATGGTCCTTGCTCTCCCAAGCCTATCCTGAACTGAGAAATACAGAGACAGTTAAGTATGTTAAATATTTTATTCACATTGTTTACAAACTCAATCCACCTGGAAAACATGAGTCCAAAAATGGATTGTTTTACAGTAATTCACATTTTTTTTTAAACAATGTCTGCAGCTTGTATTGTGGTTCAGTGTCTCAGCACTTGGTGGTCAGCTCTGGTAAAGTCCGAGGCCCAGGGCCAGGCCACCTAGGTATAGGTCACGCCTTACATACCAGTGAATGGTGAGGAAATGTCAGTTTAACCTATGACCACTCAATGGAGTAAATTCACTTTTGTTCTATTATGTCAAGGAAATGTGTTTTAGAGCTTGAGTACTCATGGGGGAAGAAGACAAAAGAAATTCACAGGTTGTCGGACCTTTCCAGTTCTATAAAGGTTTAATGTCGGCCTCAGACAGAAGCAGTGAATTGTGAGTTCATCCTGCGGATGGTTGGAATCACAGAAACAGCAGTGGTTTGAGAATTATTGCGTAGGCCTGTTGACTGACTGTGCGTGTCTTATGCTATCGACAACAGCTGAGTCCAAATGTAAGCTGAGATGCAGAGAAATTTTACATTTGTACGTTAAAAACACCCATCAGTGAAGAGGGCAAATAATCTTAGTGTCAGTTAATAATGTGGTTAATTTTAAGTGTGTAACCCCACAAGGGTGGCCATGGGAATTTTGCTGAGGGGTCAAAAAGAAGTGATTAAGAAACCTACTATTAACCTATGCAGAATCCAATTATGTCTGGATTGAACATTTTCATATTAAGAAAGTTTTCTATGGAATGTTACTTTCATGATTTAAAATCTGAAGCATACATGTCTTATATCTCACTCTGTCCTACTATAAGCTACACACCAATCATGAGTTGATCTCTTTTTTCCTCTCCGAGTTGCCGTAGTTAACCACCAGACAGTGTTGGAAGCCTGGATAGGAGCATTGGGAGTGTCTCTAGGGACAGCATTAGGACTTTTCTGTGAGCAACACCAATGTCATTGTGGCTCTGCCATTTTGGATTAGGGAAATAATATTAGATTAGTGTATCACAAAAGACCATCCCTTCGTCTCCTGGGGGAGAGGGAGCTTTTGGAAGGGCTGTAGCTGTCACCCCAAGTAGACAACAATTAAGTCCAAAGGTAAGCTGAGATGTAGAGAAATTTTATCAGCATATTTGAAGGTCAAAAAAAAAAAAAAAAAAAAAAAAAAAAAGCTTCAAATGTCTGTGGCAGTTTGATTGTTTTCAGAGACAGTAATCCAGAAAAGGCAAGTGGTACTTGGAACTGATCATAGCTTGTCTTCTTGCCAGCCGTGTGCATTTTTCCCAAATTTATACACTAACCGTCGGTCAACCCGCTCCAGAATTCCTGTTTTATAGTAATATCTGTGAAAGCAAACAGAAGAAAAGTTTGGGGAAGGTTTGTATCCCAGGAAAACAACCGAAGCTAACCACTCCCTCATTCCTGTCAGGTAAGGAGGCTGGTCTCTGGAGCCTCTGGTATTTTCACACCTTCTTATCAACTTACACTTAAAACCTTTGCCAGACATGTTGAGGGCTGAACGTCACCATAATTGGTTCTGAGTGTGTGTGTGTGTGTGTGTGTGTGTGTGTGATGGCCTGGCTTCAGATTGATTTCTGGGGAATAGTGCCAGGCATGGAAAGTATGGGAGTATTAGTTTCCAAGCCATAATCCTGCCTGTAACTAAGAACCCTAGTTCTGTCTCAAGATCTTTCCATTATCAAATAAAAAGCTGCACACAGTGTAGCGTTCTGCGGCTGCCCGTTTTATATAACTCGCCTTTGAAGACTCTCGGTACGTTAGGCTGCTAACTTACCTCAGAGCTCTGCTCAGCTTCTCGTAGGTCATCCTGTCATTTTTCTTCCTTTGTCCCCACATCTTTGCCAGGGCTTCTGATTTAACCACCCGAAAAATACCTTGTTCCCTGTCTTCCCATTCCAGAATGCCACAGTTTTCTTCGGGAGATAGGAGCAAGTCTCGAACAAATTCCCATAGATGAGAGCTCTGGAGGCCTTTTGAGCAGGGAAACAAAGTTAGCTACTTAAATTTTAAAAATAATGCCTTTGTGGAACTATTTCTTATTGGGTGCCTGAGAGCTTCTCCTGGGAACTTTCCTGCCAGTCAGATCTGTGTCTTCTAATGGCAACAGCAAGACACGTCCAGAGACACCACACTGATCCTGGCTGCCAGCACTGTGGCTCACAGGTGCTCTCTGCTCAGTGGGGACTTTATATGCAGTGCAGGAAACAACAGTCAGGTGATCTTTTGCTTCCCAAAAGGCACTGCGCCTGTACTGAGACCCCTCAGCCACACCTGTCCTGCCCTTGTTCCATTGGAATGTGGCTAAGGCTGGGCTGGAGACGACTGCCTGCGGTTGGGTCCTCAATTTGCTTCTTCCCTGTTCTGGGACTGTAATCTCTCTAGTTACCTTTGCTGTGAAATGGGCTAATAAGAGAACTCCACATTACAGGACAGGATGGAGGAGTTAATGATTTAATACCTATCAGGCAGTTATAACCATGCCTAGTATGTAGTGCTTATTTTCCTTACATAGATTGGTGAAAAGGTAGCTTGACTTCACACTGGGTAGATCCAAAGGTGGGGAAAAGCTCATAGAACTGCCAACGCCTGGTGTTTTCTTTGCTATTCTCCTCTGAGTACTTCAGTGAGAAAGACCCATCAATGACCAGGAAGAATAAAACCCGTGTTGAGAAATACAAAATGCTTAGATTATTTCTTTACTTTTTCACTTTAGTTCTTAAAAGGTCATGTCCAAGTGAAAACAGATAAACCTGTTGGACACCATGTCCAGAAGCGGTTGTGATTTCTCTGCTACCCTCCTTGGGAATCACTGGCCATACACGTTTAGTTCCCAAGGGTCCTTGCCTTGGGAAGGATCTGAAGTAGTAGGGTGAAGGCTGGTCACTGCACTTACTCGTCCGACTGTGACTCTGACAATCTTGACTTTTGATGCCACTTGCTTTCAAGCAGTTGGAATCAGCATCTGAAATAGTCGTAACAGTGGAAAGCGTCACAGAGGCCCCACGCACCCCAAATTGCACATGAATGAGCAAGTGCACCTTGCCTGCCTTTGTGGTAGAGGACCCTGTGCCGGTCACTTTGGGGGTCATTAGCGGGTGGATGGGACAGAGAGGCTGGGCATTCTGTGCCTTTGGAGAAAGGTGGTGCTCTGCTGTGGGACCTGTCAGTGTGATGCTGGGGTATAAGAGTGAGTGCAGCAGGCGTGGTCCCTGCTCACTGGAACCGAAGGAAAAACATGAAGAAAACAGGCAGGTTGCCCACTGCTTGAGACTCTATGAAGGAGACTGAACTGCATGGAGGAGGCGTGGTGTGCTGAGGGGTAAAGATGGAGGGGAGAAAGGGGCCCGGGCAGGAGGAGCAGTGTGTGCGGTGCACCGTGGAAGGAGTGCCCGGGAGGAAGGGGAGCCACCCACCTGGGGCCGGAGTGGCTATGGGCACTGGCCATGCAGGCGTATCCCCAGAGGTCCCGGGGAAGCCTGGGGGCTTTCTATCACAACATGAAGATCTCTCAGGCTACTGTGTGGTGAGCAGATTGGAAAGGACACAGGCAAAAGGAAAGACAAGAAGCTTCTAAGGGATAGAAAGCAAATCATTAAGTCAGTGTTAAGTTCTATATAACTCTGGTGTGACACCCTGACATAGCACGGTCCCCAAATAGCATAGGAGGTTTTTAAATGTGAGAGCAGGATCTGCCCTGGTGTGCCCACGCTGAGTCTCTGCCTCTTCCCTTCTGTCACCCAGTTTGCTCCGGACGCCCTGGTCTCTGGCTTCTTAAGAGCGTCCCACCTCAGGGCCTTCGCACTTGCTCGTCCCTTCATCCAGCAGCACTTTCCCTGGACATCTGAGTTCAGACCCTCATCTCACACCTGGCTCAAAATCCCCTTCCTGTGGGGCATTTGCTGACGACCCAAGCTGTCACACACGCGCCTCCTCAGCGGCTGCAGTCCGTATCCACTTCCCTTACTTCCTTAATCACCTTTGAGCATGCTCTGATGCCTGTGTTTGTGCAGCCCACTGCTTGCCAGTGCCTGCTGGAGGGCAGGGCTTTGTGCTTGTGGATGTGTCCCCAGCACCTAGCCCAAGGCTGGGCACAGAGTGGGTGCCTGTAAGTGCCACCAAACAGCCACTGGCTGTGGTGTGTGGCATGTACACCACAACAAATGAAGGAATCAATTTAACGCCAAGGGAAGGGTTAGCAGCTCATGCTCCGTGCTGTTGCCAGGGTGACTTGTCTCAGTGCCACTGTGTCATGTCATTCCCTGCTGAACATCCTGCAGAAGTCCCAAGATAAAGTGGCCATGTTAGTAGGCTTTCAGTAACTGGAGCTCACCCGGCTCTCCAACCTTATCCTTTCTGCTCCCTGACTTTTGTCCTTCTCATGAGTAGGATGGCCCCAGTGGGCTGTGGCTTTCTCCTGCCCCAGGACCTTTGTACAGGCTTTTCAACCACCATTTCTACACATGAGCTCTCCTTGAGCTCTTTTCACAAGAGCTCTTCTGCACAGGTAGCCCTCCCTGAACTCGGCCTCTCAGGTAGATCCCTCCAGCACCTGTGTGTCCTGGTATCAAAGCCTCAGTTCCACTCTTAGGGGCTGCGTGAAGCCTTGGGATTTTATACCAAGAGGTAGAGCAAAGATCCACATTTGAAGACGATCCCTCTGGCTACTGTATGGAGCACAGACTGGCAGGGACAAAAGTGAAAGTAAAGACTCTCCAAGTAAAGTAAAAATCCACCTTGTCACCATTTCTTCTATTAACAGCTGAGATTTACAGAGCACTTACTAAATGCCAGAGCTAGGTAAATGCTGCACATGTGTCACCTCCACTCTTGCAATCACTCTGTGTGATGCTATCAAGATTTTATTTCATCCAGGAATCAGAAGCCCAGAGAATTTAAAAAATTTATCCAGGTGTTAAAGCCAGGACCCGAGAATTCCCATTCCAAACCCGATGCTCACGGTTTCTGCTTTCTCGTGTTTTCATAGTAAGTGCTCCAACAGGTGCTGAATGAATACTTGTTAGCTAGGATTTGGTACACACTGCCACTCACGATCTCAGCCACCTCGTGACTTGTGTCAATTTCTATTGCCAGACCTCCCTGTTATTTTGGCTTAATATTTCCAGAAGAGAGAAAACAAAAGGAGTCGACCGGATAAGCAAAGCTGATTTACCGATTGTGAATAGCTAGCAAGATTTCTCTAAAATGCTAAAGTGGCAAGAAGAGGAAGGGAAAAAATCTCTAGTTTTTATGATTTGGGTGTGTTTCAGCTGAGGGACATTTTTCTGGTGGGATAAACATAGCTGCATGTCAGTGTGAGGTCCGACCAGAGGTGGTAGGAGCCTTGGGGGTGGGTTTTGACTTCGATCATCCTATTCTGTTTCCATGGTGACTTTGGAAATACTCGAGGGGCGACTAGATTCAAGGTCTTGCTTAGCTGCTGGTGGCAGTGGTGGTGGGGACAGAGTATGGGCAGAGGGGCTCAAATGAGTACTGCCAGGCTAATGTTGTGGGGGGCTCCCAATCAAACGCTTGACAACATCAACTTGTACTGCTTCAGCAGCTCCTTGATCTCAGTGAATTCCTCCACAGACACCAGTGGTGACCCTGGCTTGGCTCTTCCTGTCTCAGTCTTTATTTTGAACATGTCCCTGCAACTGGGCTGTGCCTGGCATGGGGTGAATACAAGCCTGGCCTGGCCTTTTGCTGTCTAGCACATGTAGGAGGGTTTCATTGGCTTTGAGACTGGAAACTTAACTGTGACCAAAGCCTCTATTCTTACTTGGAGATGGAAATTATAGTCCAGTGTCCTCTAGAAGTTGGGGTAAGGGTCTGAGGGCAGGGTTTCCAAGTCAAACCCATTGCATCCGTGGCTCTCATGGCCCAGGGACAGTGGCCACACCCAGTACCAGGATGGAGTGGGGCTGCTCTGAGCCTCAGGGTCATGAGGTGCAGCAGCCAACCCTGAGCTGCAGCCTTTGTCCTGGGGTGGGGTGCACCCTGCTCAGTGTTTCTGTGGCAGAGGGGCTGTGGAACAGGGCTGTGAGAAGACGCAGTGGGGAAGGGCTGGGTTGCTTCTCTCTGGCCAGGTCTGAAGGTTTGCTGGGCCTTGGCACCTTCAGTGGGCACTAGGTTGGAAAGTATGTTTGGAATCATTGTTAAACTGGGCCCAGCTGTAGAGGAGTCCCTGGACCTTAGGTCCCTACCGGAAGCAGAGTGAGCTGAAGGGCCTTGCAGCATGTGTGCACGTGTGTGTATGGACACATGGCTCAATGTATAAGAGCAGAGGCATTGGGAAGACACTCTGGAATCCCCAGCTCTAAATCTGCTTACAAGTCACCATAGCCCTGTTTCTACAGGTGCAAATGGAGACAAATATGGGACCCGATGGGGCGAGGGGGAGGATTGGGTGGGCTCAAGCACACAGGATGCTTACTACAGCTCTCTGTCTGGCACATGGTAAGTGCTTAATAAACAGGAATGAAGCCAGGTATGGTGAGACATGCCTACAAGCCCCGCTCTTTGGGAGGCTGAGGCAGCAAGGGGATGCGGCTGGGTCTAGTGTCACCTAGACCTAGCAATTTGGCAAGGATGTCTCAAAATAAAACAAAAAGGCCTGAAGACATAGCTCAGTGCAGAACAAATACCTGACATGCATGAGGCTCTGGGTGCAATCTCCTGTACTGTACTATAAAAAATATAACAAGGGCAGGGATCTTTCCACTGTCCCAGACGCTACCTTCTTCTCCTTGGTCAGTCAGGGCTGAGTCTCTGGTTGGCCTGACAGTGTTGAAAGGAAGTCTCTCATTTTGGAATCAGGGATATCTAAGACCCTGTAACACCACCTGGGCCAGAGGTTTTGTGGCCCTATGTCCTGGCTTTTCTAGAACAGGATCACTATACAAAGTACCAAAGTATCGCCTGCATGCCTATCCTTGAGCCATCCAACTAGACAGGAAGGATTTCTATTTGCAGATAGCAAGATCACCAGGACTGTGGGTGAGCCACACACGGGGCTCCTCAGGGGCACTGTGGCAGACCATGGTGTCTTGGCCATGGCAGCTGAGGGTGCAATATGGTGGAGGCTGTGAGGCTGGTGTCCAGGCAGGCTCAACAGACACATTACCCATGAGTTTATTCTACAAGTTGTGCCTCACAGGGCAGAGCCGAAAGCAGCAGCCATTGATGGAAGGTTTGTTGTCAGCTGTGTGTTTTTCAGAGACTCTGACCTGGAGCTCTTGTCCCACCACTTCCCACTTGTCCCTTCTCAGGGACTTTGGAAATTGTATGTTCTAGCCTTTCTTTACAGATGCATGAGCTGAGAGTGAAGTCTGTGGAGGGAGGAGGGCTGCCCAGGACCCCATCCTGTCTTGACCCTTCTTTCCATCTCTTTCCCATCACTGGCCTGGGTCACTATCTCACCATCCTGGACAGAAGCCCTCTGGCTGACTCCCCCTCCCACACACAGCAGCCCGAGAGGTCCTAAGAGGTAGAGGGCTCTGACCACGTCCACGCTCACAGCTCTTCAGCAGCACACCCGCCTCCGTCCCGCTTTTCTGTTTGCTGGTTTCATGGGTCCTCTGCCAACACCATTGCAGAGGTCTAGAGATTCCTGTGGTGGGCAGCTGAGTCATCCCATATGGCAGCCACTAGCCACCTGTGGCCACCTAGCCTTTAAAATGTGGTCAGTCCTCCTGAGGGGCTTCATTTTAATATTTAATTTTAATCAGCTTAAGTGGTCACATGTGCCTAGTGATAGCCATATTGGACAACTTAATTTACCCTCTGGCCTTGTTGGGTTCATTTTCAAGGACCAAGATTTATGCATGGATCAAAGCTTCTGTGTTTGTCTTTCTGTCCTACCTCTCCTGTCCTTTTTTCCATGCTGTTCCATTTGGCCATTTTTGGCCAAATCTCCCAAAACAAAGCTCCACAATTTTTGTTTATCAGGACTCACAAAACTGGAACCATTACTTGATTGCTTTGGGTTTCAGGGAGAGAAGAAACAAATCACCAGGAACGGCCTCCCTGTGTCTGACCCACTGGCTGGCTCTTCTCAGGGACTTTGGAAATTGTATGTTCTAGCCTTTCTTTACAGATGCATGAGCTGAGAGTGAAGTCTGTGGAGGGAAGAGGGCTGCCCAGGACCCCATCCTGTCTTGGCAGCTGGGTGAGGGCCTGTGGGTTGCACTTATTGGCTAACGGTGCTAATAATCCTCATCTTTAAAAAAAATTGGAAGCCTCAAATTCTCTTTCCTAAACCACCATCTGCAAAGTGAAATAGGAAGAGCTAATCTTCCTGTGGAACAGAGGACCAACAAGGCCATTTAGGATCCTGCCTTGTCTTATAATTACACACTTGGCCTACTGAGAAATTAATTAGTATTAATTAGTATTAGGGCTAACAGCTACCGGTTCTTGGAGCCCCCAACATCTTGTCGTCTACCAGCCACTCTCTGTCATTACTTCTTGAGCTCGCCACAGCCCAGCAGGCTCCCACTATTCTGTGGACAGAGAAATGGAGTCTTGGGAGGATAGGTACCTCATGGCCCAAGATGTGGTCCCACAGAGCCACATGCACACTCTTTCCGCACCCACATAAACTCCTCGCTACCCTCTTCTCCACCTCCTTGTTTGTTTTCATTCATGAACCTTCCAACGTAGTGGTAAAAGCAGGACTAAGCCTGTGTGCCCAACTGCAGCCCTGGCGTAGGCTGCTGCAGCTCGAGCTTGAATACTTACAGTCTCTGATGGAGGCCTTGGTCTCTTCAGTGTCATTGAAAAAGGAGTAACCTGGGAAAGAGAAAGAAAGACGCTAACCATACCATGCGTAATGGCCAGGCCAGGAAAGGGGGTGTGGGTGGAGAAGGGCAACTGCTTCCTATGAGCAGTGGTTTTATTTTAGAAGGAAACTTGGAGACTGGTCTCTGTAGAGCTACGCTGAAGCCACCCTCTGGAGTTGACAGTCTCTTTGTTTTTAAAGGTCACTTGGAAAGAGCAGCTGGAGCCAAGTACCCTGTAGCCTCTGTGGATCTTCCAGTGAGCACTGGGGAGTGAGAGATGGCTGGGAGCCGGAAGGGCTGGGCTCTCTGTTGGGCTGGGCCACTGATTGCTGTGTGACCTTTGCCAGTTGCTTGATCCCTGGGCTCACTGATTGTCCTCAGTGGCAACATGAGGCAAAATGCCCTTCGGCTCCCTCTCAGTTTAGAGCCTGTGATCTCTCACCTGGGATTCTAATCTCTTGAGATTACTCCTTCACCTGTTATGTGCTGGTGAAGGAGGATAATGGGCATAAGAGGCTGCAAGAAGCATGGAACCCTAGACGAATGCCAAGTTTACTGAGCCTTGGGAAGACAGTGACCTCGGTTCCTTACTCCGTAGAATGGGGTGAGCGAGGCCTGCATTAGCAGTTTCAAACCATGTTTTCAAGTAGTGGGTTCGGCCAAAGGTCACCTGCTTCCTAACTTTGTGTTCAACATGAGAACTAATTGATATATAGAGAGGAGAAGGGAGTGGGGCACATTTGCCACGGCTTCTTCCTGCTGCCAGGTTCTCCCTGGCCCTGTTGGCAGGACACCTCGGTGGACTCTATCCAAAAAGCTGACCAGAACAGGATGTGGGACATACAAGGGACTCGTCCCTCTTTTGGGCTGTGGGGGCCGCCCTCTGCCTTCACCATCTCCTGCCAACGACCCGGGCCCTTATGTCCCACCGTACGGCCTCCAGAGCCAGAAGGTCCTCTAGCTCCAACGCTGGAAACCTCCCTTGCTTCTCGTCCTATACTGATAGAGCCTGAATGCTTGGAGTCATGCAAGGTGTAAACTAAATGATTATTTATAGTGTAACTTATTGTCCAAATGGAGACACTTTTGAGAATGAAAGGCAACACTACTAATAATTATTCCAGATGAAAATGTGTTCTGGGCAAGTTGGGAGAGGGGGAACTTTGGTCACGGTACACACCTACAGAGATCTGCCTGGGGAGCATTAAAGGAAGAATTTCAGAATGGCACAGGTTGGGAACAGATGATTGTGCAGCTCTACAAGAAGGTCTCCTTGCCTAGAGAGTACCCCAGGTGCCACCACTGGAGGTGGCACCAGCGACTTTAGGGAATCCCAAGAACAAGAAGAGCCAAGTGTGGTCTATTAGAACAATCAATTTTTAGGTTGTTCATTTTTCAGAGTCCCTGAGCTAATGGGACCAGGGACAGGTATTTTCTGATATGACAGTTGCCAGGGAAAACAGGTGCCCAGCCCCCAACACAGGAGTGACTGAGACCAGCTTGTGGACTTGACATTGGGCCAAGCTGGCAGTGCCAAGCTGCAGTCTTCTAGGAAGGGCTGTGTCCCTCGCTGTGGCCCTGGGCTGCTTCTGCCACAGTCTTCCCTTGAGAGGGCTCGAATAGAGCCCTGAGCTTCTCCTTCTAGAGCTGCTATGACACGTTGTTTGGTCCCCTTCTGGGGGGTGGGAAATACTCTAAGCAAAGGCCACTGTTGCTTACTCCTTCCCAGGCCAAGTAGTGTCCACAGCCACCATAGGTAGCCTTCTTGCCCTCAGGTACTTGTGATAAGAAGCAATAAGAGAAAACAAAACAAAAAAAACAGCTGGAAAATCCTCTGTGGGTTTTCTGTCCAAACAAGAATCCTCGATACGGCCTGCCTGTTAAGCAAGAGCTATTGATTGCTTGGCTCTTTCCACTGGGTGTGAACTTTCTATCTTTTGTGTCTTCTCCAGCAGCCTTTCTGAAAGCAGGTACCAACTTTTAGACAGATCTTTCTCAAGAGAGAGCTGAGATGGACACTGCCTTTCCTTTAGTTTAAAACATTCCTACCTCTTATTTGCAGAAGTGATGATGGAAACAGCTGCCCTTTGCAGCATTTATATCTTTAACTCATGTGCTATGAATATTTTACGACATTGTTTTGAAAGCCTGTGGAGGAGCATAGGACCTCCACTGGGAATGAGAGGGGGAAAGCCTCGTGCAGGGTGCTGGAGACTGCAAAGGGGGTCCTCCCAAACATCAAGCTCTTACTTCGTACTCCCATATGGGTGTGGTGCAACCTTGGGAAAGTTACTTAAGCGCTTAAGTCACCAGTTCCCTTGTCTGTGACCTCACTCAGAGGGACACTGAAGCCCCTGGGCCACCTCTCCACCTGCCCTCTGATCCTTCACCATTAGGCATGTGATAGAAAATACTAATTATCCAGTCTCTTCTGGACACAGGAAAGGAAATAACCTATTTACTTCTTCTCCTTCTGCTTAATGGAAGAAGGAAGCATAAAGTTTTTCCTTTTCATTCTCCAAAAAGTATTTGTGAATATCTTTCATTATTTTGTTGTTCTTTGTATGGAGCCTCTACTATAGTTCTATAGTGTTAAGTTTTTATTTTTGTGCCAGGGATTGAACTCAGGACCTTGTACTTGCCAGGCAGGTGCTTATTCTACTGAGCTATCTCCCTGGTCTTAGGGCTTTGGGGTTTTTTTTTTTTGGTATTTATTTGAAGTGCTCCCTGTGTTTTCATGTAACTTACTCTCCTTGTGTAAAATCTCTGCCCCAGCACACTAGAGCTTCCCCTTGCTAACAGGTTTCGGCTAAGGGGAGTGCCATTGAAAGAAGTTTGGTTGAGTAAGGGCCATGGATCAGAAGGACCTCTCAGGGCTTGCGGTCCCAGGCTCCTCCCTCCCCCAGCCCAGCCTCTGCCACTGACCTTGCGTGCGGATGTTCTGCAGGATGAAGTACAGGTACTCCCCAGAGAGGCCCGCTGCCTCGATGAACTCCTCCTGGGTCATGCTGCACAGCTGTAGGCCGCTGACGTTGAAGTGGCAGAAGGAGATGCAGTTGGCGTCCAGCTTGTACTGATCGCAGCAGAACTGCAGCCACTCCCAGACGTGGCGCTTTGTCCAGTACTCGGGGTGGACCGAGGTCCAGTAGGAGTCACAGGCTGCGTCCGAGGAGAAAGAGGTGAGGCTCCATGGTCCCCAAGGGCATCTCCAAAAGAGCCCCTGCCTATGCTCCAGCCCTCTGTGCTCTGGGGGTGGGGGTGGGGTCCAGGCCACCTTCTGTTCTGCACAGAAGAGGAGGGGGAAAGAATCCTGCAGACAGACTTTGAAGTGAGAAGGGGAAGGAGAGGTGGTGAAAAATAAGTACCTTACTCTGGCCCAGGGAGAAGAAAAACAAAAGGCTGTTCAGTTACATGGTTGTAGACACAGGGTATCAAGAACACAAATTCAGGGCTGAAGAGATAGCTCAGTGGTCTAAGTGCCTGCCTGGCAAGTGCAAGGACCCAGGTTCAATCCCCAGTACTGCATGCCCTGCAGGGGGTAGTGGCACACTCCTATAATCCTAGCATTGAGGAAGCTGAGACAGGAAGATCACTATGAGTCTGAACTATGTAGTGAGACCCTGTAACAAATAAATAAATAAATAAATAAATAAATAAATAAATAAATAAAAATTTTAAAAATCTTAAAAAAGAAAGAACACAAATTTAGGAACCTAGGGGCTGGGGAGATAGCTCAATAGAATAAGCGCTTGCCTGGCAAGCACAAGGGACTGAGTTCAATGCCCGGTTCTGAAAAAAAAAAATTAGGAACCCAACAAGCTTGTGTTCAAACTATGATCCAATTGCTCTCTGCTTGGGCAAGGTCTGCAGGCATGTAAGCCTCTGTTTCTTCATCTATAAAATGGGGATAATGTGATCGACTCACAGAACTCTTAGGGAAAAAATGGCCAAGCAACTTAGCAGTCATTAAAGACTTACTTTGCCTGGGCAGAATCTGAATTCTGGGTTTGCTTCTCTGTGCTTAATGGACAGCTGTCCAAACTGGCTTTTCTTTGGGCCAGCCAAATAGCTCAGTGGATTAATGCGCCTGCTTGCAGGGGAAAGGGGTTCTATCCCTGGGCCTGCCATGCTGGCCCCATCCCCAGGGTGCGCTGAGATGGCAGTTGAGACTGGGTGTGGTGGCGCACATCTATAATCCCAGCTCTTGGGAGGCTGTAAACAGGCAGATCACCATGAGTCCGATCTAGTAGTGAGACCCTGAACACCCTGTAAACCCTTCCCTAAAATACAAAAACAACAACAAAAAAATCCAACTGGCTTCCTGTTTGTGCACATCCTCTGACCATCCTGTGCCACGGCCTTGTGCCACATGTGTGTTGTCTAGAGTCTTTTAGACCTCGGACTACCATTGCAGGCATCCTTGGAGGAAGAAGCCATGGTATGGTTGGTTGGACTGTGTGCTTGGGCTTTTGAGGATTCTGTGTCTTCCTAGCAGAGCTCCTTGTTCTTTTCAAGCTGTGCACACACCCAGAGGACAGTGACACTACCCTGTCTGATGGCCTGGGAAGCAGCCATGCCTGGCTTAGGGCAAGGATTTAGAACTCAAGCTCCCTGTCTCAGTGTCTGAAGAAGCAGCTAAAATACAGCAGATATGTCATAGAGGAGATAAGGCACTATGTTCTTGGTCAGATTCTTTGGTGTAAATAATCATCTTTTGGAGGGTAAATAATTTTGTGATTGCCATGCTATTCGCTCATCTGTCAATCCATCCATCCATCCATCCATCCATCCATCCATCCATCCATCCATCCAATCAGTCAGTCAATCAGTCATAACTTCTGTTTCCTTATCTGTGAAATGGGGATAATTACAGCACTTATAGGGTTATTCTGCAGATTAAATGACTTAATAAAGTACTTACAACAGAGCCTGGAAGATGTTAGTGCTACGAACATTATCACTGTACACCTCTGTGTGTGACATATTACACTATGTGTCAAAGATTCATGCTGGATAAGACCCATTTGGTACTGTCCCCTAGGAAGTCACTGATGACGATCTTGAGCATCACAGAAGACCTTCCTAAGATTCCATGGCCAGTGTGTGGCAGAGCTGAGGTGTGAACCCCAAGCTGGACTCAAATGTCACTGTTCTTCCCATCCCTGTGTACTGGCCTCAGAGGGTCCGTGTGGGAATAGTTGGAGCAGGCAGAGACCTGGCGAGCATGTGTTGGTCCAAGGCAAGGGGTAGAGAACAGGCAGCGGAGCATGGCTCAGAACCAGCTCAGGTTGTGTGGATGACAGGAAGGGCCACTTTCTAGTCAGAGCCCACAACAATAGCAGTGGTACTACTGCCACTCTTGTACATGCTACATGTGCTGCCACTGTCCCCAACAGAGTGGTGGCACTTCTGAGCCCAGCCAGGAAGTGGGCTTTCTCCTCTGCCTGGACTGTCAATCACTAACCACCCACTTTGTATCACTACCACATGTCCTTGTTGACAGCATCTCATTTCTCAAATCCTCTCAACAGCTGTGCCGAATCGACACTGTATCACAAGGGTAGAAGCCACCCGAGGCCAGGGCCCTTCCAGACATCTCCTTATGCCTTCTAGAGTGGATCTACAGTTGTCAAATCTACATAATCAATTTGTTTTAAAATTTTAGCTAGAATTTTACATGCATGGAGGTGAAAGAGTCAGTATTCTGCCAGGCTATAAAAGGCTGGCATTGGAGCCTCTACCTGCTGCAGAGGAGCAGGGCTGCTGAGAGTGAAACACTGCTCCTGCATCCTGGTTGCTGGCTGGAGCTCTCCCCAGGTGCACTGTGGGTAGCGCACAGCAGACCGGGCTCTTATGGAAACACAACCCTTTCCTGAATCTGGTCTGTGCTTCCATCTACTGATCTCTGGCTTGAGTAAGCCTAAGGGGCCTTTGGGCTTTCCTGGCATTCTGATGAGAGATCTTTATGAGCCTTGAAATTCTTCAGCTGCTGGTCCTGCGCTGGGCCCTGACGGAGATGGCTATCAGTGTCCTGCCAGTGGAGGCCATGGCGTGTTTCTCTTCGGGGAAAGCTCTGGCCTTCTGTTCCCTTGCCCTTTCCATTCCTACCCCCTTGTTATTTTCTTTGGCACTGGAAGGGGACCATATTGTTTCTGGAAGCCAAAAGGGCCATCAGGATTCAGAGAAATGCGAGTGGGGGTGGCGCTGACACCTGGAAGGTGTTGCTGGCTTAGCTCCCTGCTTCTCTGTAAGGCTAACCACAGAGCAGGCTTTGTGTGCAGCTTGGGCCTGGAGCAGATCTGGGGCCAGAGCCAAGAGGCTGCTGGCTCTTCTCATCCCCAAAGTCCTTCCCACAGCTCCCAGAGCTGATGGGAGAAAGGCTTGCTCTCGGGGACACAGAGAGATGGCTACAAGAGCTAAGACCCATGGGTTGCTTTTGGTGAGGTGTTTTGGCGGTCCTTCCTCAGGCTGAGGGGGACTGTCAGGCTGACAGAGGTGAGGAGGCCCTTCATCCATCCTCCTCTCCTCTTCTCTCCCGTCTTCCCTCTCAGGTTTCTACACAGCTCAGTCTTTCCACAGTGCTTCTTTTTTTCCTTTGCTGTCTCCTGAGTAATTCTTCCTCGCCCCACAACTTCTCCACTTACTTTCCCTCTCAGAGAGTTTTCCCCTCAGGCACCTTCTTGGAAGATCTGGAAGGATTCACAGTGCCTCCTTCCCCAGATCTTGAGCTCTGCTCACCCTGAGCAAGAAGAGCTAAACACCTGGTCCAGCCCACCATACCGCTCAGGAGTGGTTACTATCTCCATTTTACGGATGAGGAAATTGAAGTTCTGGGATCTAACGCAACCCCCTAAGATCCCAGAGGTGGTCAGAAAAGGTGTTAGGCCCGCATCAACTTCCATCTGTGGACCTGGGCCTAACACCTTTGGGCGTTTTGTATTGTACAGAAAGAACCTCACCCTTATAGACTGAGGAGAAGCAAGTGGGGAACACATCTTGAAGACTGACTGAAATGAAATTTAGATGAAGGTATATATCTGGGTTTGAAAAATCAGAAAGAGAATGAAGAGATGTTGTTGCCATTGCTTCTAACTCCAGAAAATAAGAAGAAGACCTTTCTGGTACTTGGAAGAGATGAACTCAGGGAGAATCAAAAGGCTCTATCCAGCAACATTTTTTCTTTCACAAATTGTATTGTCTGGGAGTGATAGCATATTTCCCTCTGGATCTATCATTCATAAAATAAACTTTTGGGGGAGGCTTCCGCCTGGGTCACCACTCAAGACTGTGGCATTCCTGTGTCAGGAAGGCCTGATCCAAATATCCACAGGCCACTATTAAGCAGCAGCCCTGCCACCTCCTTTGAAGTCTGAAGTGGGTCAGGACTCTTATTTGAGGGCTGGCTGCTTTGGGAAGAAGAGCCAAAGAGCTAGAAGGTGTTCTCTGTAATCGTAATCAGGAGGAATTCTGGAAAATGATGCTGCTGCCAAGGGCATGCTCGAATTCCTTAGGACTCAGTGTTCAGAGGGGGGGTGGTGTGCTTCAGGGCCCACAAGGCTGGCAGGTATGGTGTCCATGCTTGACGTGGTCCTGGCTGGACACACTTAGAATTGGAAAGTTCACGCTGAAGTGAACAGTTGCGGCCCGACTCCATGGCGGGAGTGCAGTGTTCATTGGGAAGTGTGGCTTTCTTCAGTGTGGCCAAGAAGCAACCAGACTGAGGCAGGCTCAGGGCTTAGTCAGGGGAGACAGACCATCTGCCTCAGAGGAGGCCCCAGCTAGGCAACGTCAGGCCATAATTAGCATGATTTATTAGGGTAGGGAGTTGGGAAAGTTTTTGCCTGGGGCAGCACTGAAGAAAGGTGATGAGTGTATTGGGCAGCAGGGGACACAGTCAATTACAGCTTTGTCATTGAAAAGAAGCATTTTATGAGGGTCAGCCTTCAGTGATAGACTGCTTCCGGGTTTCTTCCCAGGGCCATGCCGGCCCTTTCCAGTAGCCTCACTGACCTTTCTCTCCTAGCCTCTGGCATGCTCAGACTACCAGATGGCAAAAATAAAGCCAGGATTGAGACTGGGCGTGGTGGCGCATGCGTGTAATCCCAGCTCTTGGGAGGCTGTAAACAGGCGGATCATTATGAGTCCAATCTAGTAGAGAG